CTTGCATCACTTTCATTTCTCTTCCCAGTTTTTCCTCTACTTCTCTTACTTGCTTCTCAAAATCCCTTTTGAGCTCTTCCAAGTACTGGGATGGATTCATATTTTTCTTGGAGGCTTTGGACATCAGAGCTTTGACTTTGTTGTCTTCTTCTGGTTGTATCTTTTGATCTTCTTTGTCACCAAAGTAAGATAATATAGTCTGACTCTTTTTGCGAGGTTTGCTCATGATCCCAGACAACTACCTGAGTTTTAAACTCTTTGTTAAGGTAAAAGTCTTCTTCCAGTGTGGAGAATATACTGTCCCAAGCTTCGGGGGTTTATATAGCTGTTTTCAGAGATACTTCTAGGGACCTGTAAATTTTCAGTTCTTCCAAGGTGGTAAGATAAGGGTTGAGGTGTTTACTCTTTTCCTGGCCTGTGCTCTGGTCTTTGAGTGACCCGCCACAAGCAGTCTTTTCTCTCTTGGAACTGTGAGGAGGGTTTCCTCTGCACTGCCACTACAAGTTCCACCGAGCCAGCACTCTTCCTCACCCCAGGACTGCCACCCAGAACTGTGACCCAGATCCAAGCATGGGCAAAGCAAGAGATTTCTGCCTCAGCACTGGCAAAGAGATCTCTGTAGTCCCCCTCTGATCAGCCACTTGATTCCCCCTCAGTCAGTGGGCTAGAAGCTCAGGATGCAGCCACAGCCTAGGTGCCTGCGCTCTGCGCTCTGGAACTGGCTCTGACCTATCTCTTCTCTCACTGAAAAAATAGACTTTTCCCACTGGCCTTCTAAGTTGTCTTCTGCGTTTGTGGATTGAGCAGTCTGGAAACCGCCACAGCTGCCTGTGATTTATTCCTCTGAGGCCTGCCCCAGGTTTGCTGTGGCCTGTGAGCCATGCCGAAATGAGCTCCTCTCCCTGCCTGTCACAATATGCCTTTCTGATCAACCATCCAGGCTGTCTTGGGCTGGAAATTTGTCGTACTCTGTCCTTTTGTGGGTTCTGCTGCTTTAGAATTTGTTTAGAGCCATTTTTTTTAACGGGTATTTGGAGGGGTTTAGGGGATAGCTCAAGCAAGTCACTACTTTCACTGAGCCATTTTGGCTCTGCCCCCACTCATCATTTCTTAAAGTACAATAGTATTCCATCACAATCATATACCACCACTTGTTTAACCATTCCCCAATTGATGGGCATCTCCTCAATCTCCAATTCTGTGCTCTTCAAGATAAATGTTACAAATATTTTTGTACATATATGTCCTTTTCCTTTTTGTTTTTTAATCTCTTTTGGGATACAGACCTAGCAGTGGTATTGCTAGGTCAAAGGGTATACATGGTTTTATATCTCTTTAGGCATATGAACTGATTATCTTTCCCCTCAAGCCCTTTTCTCTTCCTCACTTCCCTTATTACTGCCAATAATATCACCATTATCTCAGTCATCCAAGCTTACAACCTAGGTGTCATGCTTGAATGCTGATGTTCTTTTATCCTCCAATATCCAATCAGTTGCTAAGTCCTGTTGCTTTTACTTTACTATATGCCTTCTTATATTCTCTGACACTACAACCACTCTGGAAACAGGTCCTTATCATCTCATGCCTGGACTGCTTCAGTAACCTGCAGGTTAATCTCTCTGCCCCAAAGCTCTCCCCATTCTAATCACTCAGTTGTCAAACTGATCTTCCTAAAGTGCAGGTCTGACCATATCAGTTCCCTACTAAATAAATTCAAAAAAGGAAGATGGAGGCTGATAGGAAGAACAACTCTTGACCTTGGCCTGTACCCTTCCTTGTTTTATTTTCATAAGGAACACTGGAATAATGAATGGAAACCAAGTAAGATGCTCTGAATCCATTCCTGTTGACATGTTTGATTTTTCACTTCAATCAGACACAGATGGCACCACACTCATGCTTTTCACAGGGTTTCACAGCTTTTCACAGGTCTCCTGTTTCTGTGTTTTACCGAAGTTACTTTGCTCCAGATCCAATGACACTAAACTCCTTCCTGTGCCCAACTCAAACAACAGCAGCAGTACCTAATTCCTTTACAGTTTGTCTTCTACATCCCACAAACAAGAGAGCTTTTGATTTGAATGAAGGGTGTTGGGACGGGGAGGTGCATTGTGAGCTAGTTAAAACCAGTTTGATTAGGTATAGCTCAAACCCCTAGGATATATATATATATATTAAGGCTAACAAATCCCAAGACCAAACATCGCCCTTCACCCTCAGTCTCTCACCTGTGTGGTACAGTTAATGTTAAGTGTCTTGAATTCTTGCCCCTCAGTCCTTATTTAATTAAGAAAATTAACTAATTTAAATTAATTAATTTAATTAAGAACATATCCTCATTTCACTGGTCATGATTTTCCTTCTATGTTCCCCAATGGATCACAGGGTGGTCCCTTATTAGTGACATGGTGGCTATTTTTCTAAAACTCTATATAAGCTGAACCTGAGAGGTGTTGGGGCTTCGATCAGATTGTGATATACCACTACAGAGTTGCATATCCAAAGCTACTCCAATGTGTGTCATGGCCCAGGAACAAATAACAATGGAGGTTGCATTCCAAGATTGTTCCCAGTTGTTATTTGCTCTCTTCCTCTCTTAGTTAAGTAGTAGTAAAATTTTGTTAACTGCTATCTCCTTGTGTGGTACTACTACACTTCATCTGAACCATTACCTTCCCTATAGCCACTTGAAAGTTGTTACCTGTTTTACATACTTTTCATTAGCTTTCAGCCAATGTCTTCTACAAACTCTTAGAAATACCAAGTTGTGGTATTAGTGGTTGCTACTGGAAAATTGGCTAGATAAGATAACTCAATTCTCTCTTCCATAGTGCATTTCTTTTCCATACGCATTAAGGCTTACAACAAACTTTCCTCATAACAACGCTATAAGGCTGTTAGTGTAATTATTATTATCCCCATATTACAGATGAGGAAATTGAGGCAGAGAACTGGAAAGCCTCTTGCCCAGGGTAACACAGCTAATGTTGGAGGAAGGACTTGAACTCAGGCTCCATCTACTGTTCTTCCCACCTAGCCCATGATGCTTCCACAAAAAATGCATTGGAAAGAACACTAGATTAGGAATCAGAAGACCTGGATTCAAGTATGAAAATACAGCACTAATTAGCTGTGTGACCAAGTCACCAAAACTCTCTCTGCCTAAGTTTCTTCACCAATAAAACAGGTATACTCAATACTACACCTAGCTTACAAGGTTGTTATAAGGATCAAATGAAATAATCTATGTAAAATGCTTTATAATTATTAAGAACTACATTAGCTGCTATCAGATATATCAACTCCTGATTCAGCATGGATTCAGCATGTGGTAAGAGGTACAAACAAAGGAGTTTGAGAAAACAGAATAATTAAGTTCTCTTAATTCAACTTTCTAAATTTGGGAATACCCACTATAACATTCCTGATAGCTGGTCAAAAACTCAGCTTGCCTGAAACAGTTCTTGTGATACAAGAGCTTACTAGCATAAATTACATCTTTAGAAAACTGTTAGAAAATTTTTTCTTTAAATCTACCTTTCTCTAACTTCTACCTCATTGATCCAAGTTTTGCTCTTTATGATTGATAAATCATATTCATTCTGGTAAGAATAAGTCTAATCTCTCTTCAACATAATAGTTCTACAAAAACCTCAGATATTTTGTTCCTTTATTTCTTCATTAGTCCTCTTTTTCCTTGGTTAAATCTCCAGTAGCTTTAGGTAGGGATAAAATTAAAGGAAAGATCTCTCTTGATCTCTCTCTTTTTTAAGCACAGGGAAAAGAAGCATATTGCTAAATGGGGGTGTGATAGTCAAGATGAAGAGATGAAAGAGGATAGGGGCAGAGGAAATTAGTTCAAGTGAAGGAGAAGCTGTAGGAGACAAGATTATCTTTTGAGATGGAGGATGTTATATGGAAAAAGTATGGAACATACTACTGTAGAAAATTAGACATTTATGACATTAGAACATAGCATGTTACCTATTAGCCTTGCAAAATATAATATGCTTAGAAAGCAATGTGAATGAATAAAATAAAGGCCCAACTAAAGTTAGGCTACTGGACCCAATCAACATGGTTTCATGGATTTTTCTAGTAATTCTTGTTAACCTGGGAGCAGAGACAGATGATAACAGGGGAGAATATGAAGGTTTGGTAACTGGCATGCAAGGTATAGAAAAAGTATGCTAGCAAGGGCATTTCTGAAATAGAAAAACACAGGGTTCTGGCTAGGTAGGAATAGCAAAGAGGTGATGAGGGCAAAGACCAAATTTAATTGTGTAGAAACACATTAAGTCAACCACATCCCTTCCTTGTTCCTTCTTTTGAAACATTAATGCATCCATGTCCTGGTCTAAAATTACTGGTATGGGGGCAGTTAGGTGGTGCAGTGGATAGAGCACCGACCCCGGATTCAGGAGGACCTGAGTTCAAATCCGGCCTCAGACACATAACGCTTACTAGCTGTGTGACCCTGGGCAAGTCACTTAACCCCATTGCCTAGCCAAAAATAAATAAATTAATGGATGGATGAATGAATGAATGAATGAATGAATGAATAAATAATCGCTGGTATCACTTTCTGCAAAAGGTCTTCCTTTTAAGAAGAAAATCAAGTCCAAAGAGAGACTTGGATTCCTTAAAACTCAGATTAGATAGAGAGAATTATAGAATCATAGATTAAAATCTGAAAGGGACTTTAGAAGTCTTTGAGACAACTGTCTCATTTTACAGATTAGGAAAAGTGATTAGAGAGCTTAAATGATGTGGTCAGGGTCACAAAACTAGTAAGCATCTGAGACAGGAGTTACATCTCAGAATCACTGTCATGCTAAAATGAGACCTCACAGCAAACCTTGAGTAGAGATTTTTAAGCTGAATAAACTATAATTTTGATTAATATTGCTTTAATTATCTAATTTAGATATAACATTTAAATAGATCTGGAAAAAATGGACTATAGCTATGTACAAATGACAATTCTCAGTACTTACCACTGTCTTGAGTCCAAGTTTCTAAGTTCTCTAAGGAGTTTTTCATTTTTCTTCAGGAGATGAAAGCTCCTCCTAAAGAAATAATGGATAAACATTTTCATTGTCTTTATAATTGAATGACACAACAGTCCTGGAACATACCTTCCACTCTCCTTATGGAGTGCTTACATTTCTCTTGTCTGTTCGTATTTCTAAAACAAAGGTGAACAAATCCTAAAAAAAAAAACCCTTTAAACAATATTTATTATTATTTCTACCTAAGGACCTGATATTTTCCTCTCAGAATATTATACCTATTGGTTTCTTCAGTTTTACTCTTATAGACTACGCATGGTTCTCTAGTCTTATTTCAAAAGTAAGAGACAGGACTAGATGTGGATTTTATTTACAATACATAGTTTTAAAAATAAGTCAGAAGGTTTTTAGATGAAATAAATTATTTACAAAATCCAAACCACGTGTCAAAAATAATGACAATTCAGAAAGAGTTTGGATACCCCACAAGTCAAATGATACTTATTATGTAACATCATTTGCCCATAAGGTGATAATTAAAAATAGTGCATTTGGAGTGAGTGAAAAGATCAATGTTTTTGTCCTGGGCTTTGTGGCTTGGTCAAGCTACTTAGTCTTCTGAACCCAGTTTCCTAGTCAGCAAAATATGGACAACATTTATATGACCTTATACTAACAGGGGATGTTTCTATAGTGCTTTTTTGCAAAGTGCTTTTATATCTTGTTTTATTTGTGCTATTTCACAGTATTGTCATGATCATCAAATTAATTAATGTATAAAGCATTTTGTAAATTGGTAAGAATTATTATTTTTATACCATAGAGGCATTCTATGCAACTGAAATTATTTGTATAGACTACATAGTTCTAAATCAGTGTATGAGCTGCAGTTGCAAAATTGAAAATAACAGTCTAACAGCTGGAATGGTCCTTAAGATTAGAGGATGATAGATTTAAAGCTGAAAGATAACTAAGAGATTATCCAGCTCAATGCCGATTTTACAAATGAGAAAACAAGCGCAGAGAGGTTAAGATACTTGTTCAATGTCACCCAGATTAGAACAGCAAATCCAGGAACTGAATGACAAGTCTCTTGACCTGAAATTCAGCCTTCTTCCTGTTTTCCACTACGTCACTGAGGAAAACCTACGGAGGTCAAAGAGCCTGGGGAATCTAAGCTCAGAGAGGTAAAATGATATATACAAAGTTACAAAATACCTTTACTGGCAGAGCCAGTATGGAGAGGCTCCCAAAGTTAACCAGATGATTCTAACAGTCTTCTAATTGGCTCCTTGTCTTGTTTCTCTCTACTCCAATTTTCCTTAAGCTCAGATCTAAGCATGTTATTTCTTTAATAAACTTCAGTGGGCTTCCTACTGTCATTGGAATCAAATAGAAACTCCTCAAACTAGGTTTAAAAGCCTTTCACAAACTTCTTCCAACCTATCCGTTTTGCCTTATAGGACATTCTATCCTGTTGGCATCTGTGATCCAGCCAAACTGGCCCCTCACTGCTGCCTCTTAGAATTCCTCTTCCTTCAAGATTCAACTTAAGTATCACTTCCTAAATGAAGCCCTTCCTGATCCCTTCAACTGCTAGTGCCCTCCATTTGAAACAACCATATTTTAACCATTTTGTATTGTTGTATTATTTCACAGTTCTATGTCCTTGCTGTCCCCTCATTAGAATGTAAGTTACTTGTGTGTAGGAATTATTTCATCCTTTGTATTTGAATCCCCAGAGTCTTACACAGTGCCTTGCACACAGGAGGAATTTAATAAATGTTTATGGATTGAATGACTGATTGAAGCAGTAATATTTGAGCTATCCTTCTATTATATGTCAAATATAAATACTATCCTTTTTACCTTACTTTTTTCCCCTGAAGTAGAGAATTTAAAAAATGCATATTACTCAATGCCTATCTTAATCAATGACATACTGTTAGCTAAAGAAAAATTTAAGAAACTCTACACCTTCCTTAAATGGATAAAAATCTAATCAAATCTAGAAGTTTTTTTTTTTCTTAGATCCTAGATCCAATGTCTCAAATTCTGAAACTATTGCCTTGCTGTTTTCTAAGTATTTTGGCAGGAAAAAAGCACATATTTATTGTTTAAGTCATAGTTTTAAAGGTAGGCTGTACAAATGAATTGAAAATGTATGGTTTTTGAGTCCATTTTTACTTAGTGTCTTTACTTCATGCAGTGAGAATTTAAGACTGTAGGACCTAAATGAGAATACATGAAAGCACAACATGCACACACATTATATATGGATATACACACACATATTATTAATGGCCATAGAGTAGGCCTGCACAACTTGTGGCTGTTTACAGCCCATGGGCCACTCGCAGCATGCCAAAGGATTTCCTCTACATATAAAGGATGTTTTCCCCTACATTTTTCAAGGACAGCCAGAAATCCTTTGGTGTGCAGCAAGTGGCCTGAGGGCCTTAAGTGCCCTTGGCCTGCAAGTTGTGCAGGCCTCCCTTACAGCTATCTTTTCTCTTTCTATCATGATCCAAACTCATATCTTTCCTTTATGCCTCCCTGTTCTTAACAAATCTATTTTTTTTAAGGCAATTGGGGTTAAATGACTTGCCCTGGGTCACATAGCTAGTAAGTGTCAAGTGTCTGGTCTGAGGCCGCATTTGAACTCAGGTACTCCTGACTTCAGGGCTGGTGCTCTATCCACTGTGCAACCTAGCTGCCCCTTAATGTTAATTAGCTATTTGTTTTTGTTTTTGCTTTTCGCTAGGCAATTGGGGTTAAGTGACTTGCCCAGGGTCACACAGCTAGTACGTATTGTGTGTTGTGTGTCTGAGACCGGATTTGAACTCAGATCCTCCTGACTTTAAGGCCGGAGCTCTATCCAGTGCACCACCTAGCTGCCAACAAATCCATTTCTGTCTAGAGACTGTAGAGAGGAGGAAGAGGGAAGCAGGGGGAACCACTAAAAAGATTTTCTTATAAATCAAAAAGTATTTAAATGTAAAACCCACGTATTTCTTGTTAACCTTACCTTTTGTCCCAGGAATTCATTCCCAATATACTGAGGAGCAATCTGCAATAATAAAATGCTGACTGAGACTTCTGAGGTGTTGGTTCATCTTGTTCCATGGCTTTCATATTTAAGTCATTGAAATACTTTTCAACAAATTCCCTCTCCTCCGTGTACTGCTTAAGGATGGCATTGATAACATCATTTTCTTGTTTTTCAGAGATGCACGCGGGTTGTGGAGCAGGAATGTTGAGTGAGACACCAGTCCTTTGTAAGCATTCAGGACTAGTAACACCTAAATATTGGAGGAGCTCATCAAGAACATCCTCTTCATCTCTTATTGTATCCCACGTTGGCACTGTTTCTCTGAATCTCCTCTTAATCTGGAGCTCAGGTCCATCTCTAACAGTTACATCCTCTGGATAGTCACTAGAAGTTGTAGTGTCTTCTGGCTTCTCTTGGTGAGACAATGAAAGCATGAATGAAACTGGTTCTGAGAGATATCTTACAGAAGGTGGTCCATAAAGGATGGCAGAGTCCCATGAATATTTACCTGACAAATCACGAACTATAATTCTGACATTTGAATTAGCTGAAGTCAGCCCCGCACATAATCCTCCTCCAGGCATATTCTCTTCTGATCTTATCTGGATACAGGATACCAATGTCGTGTTGTTCAATACAAAAAACTGGAGATTTGGACTCTCAAAAAGTTCAGGAGAAAGTTCGGAACTTTCACTGTAATGATTGTCATGATTTTCACAAACCTGACTTGTTAGCATAGCAGGACCACCATTCATTGGATAGTGACCTAAGTGGTTTACCAGGTGCGTTATAACAGTACGAGCTGCAACTGAGATTAATCCTTGTTGAATCTGAGTTTTTACTGTAAGTAAAAAAATAAAAGAGTGGGTAGACTGATGCTTAAAACATATAGTATCTAGCAAACAAAATAAAAGCAAATTTATATTTAAAAAGACCATATTTGCAAGCTGCCAAAAAAGTTCTGTTATCAATATATCTGATATAAATACTATTTATTTCACTTTTGCATTACAGAAGTAAAGGGAGGAAAAATGAAATTTCTTTGATGCAGATATGCTGACTGCAGTCAATAAAAAGTAAGTCAGGACTGTTTCAATGTCTTTGTTTAGGTGTCTCAAATTTAAACTTATGTTACTAAATCCAGGAAAATGACATGGTTGCAAAGAGAGACAAGATGTTATCTCTCAGAAAGTCAACAAGGTAAAAATTAAAATGAGTAACAAAACCGCTGCAAAATAAGGCAATGAAATCAATTCTATGGATAAAATTTCCTATTTCTTGGGTAGATTTCTAGATTCACATGATTTGCATTGAAACTTGGCCAAATACCTCTGGATTTTATAGATTATGTGCAATGTTTCAGAATTAGGGAATCTTCAGCTAGTCATAGATACAAGGGTGAAAATTAAGAACTGGGAAAGAGGCTAAGGTAAAGTAGTCTATTCAACATGTTACACCTTGGGACATAGAATGTTAAGTGGCAAAAAAATTTTTATAGGCAGAAATGCTATATTTCTAAAAGACAAGTGGCTTTCTTGGGTTGACATAATCTATTTTGGACAGTTATGGAATTTTGAACTCCTTTCTTTTGAATTAAGATTAGGTCAAACAAGTAGAGAAAGAATGTTACATGACTGTCCAGAGGGGTCACCCAGTAATTAAGGAGAAAGTTTTAAGGAAGAATAGGCTAATGAGAAGCCTGAAATTAGTAGGCGGGAAATAAAGTGGTTAATATCAGGAACTGAAGGAGAAAAGGGGCACAGAAGGGGAGAGAGAGAAAACGTTTGACAATAAGAGTAAGAATTGGATATATTCATATATAGGTGGAATGAGGAATAAGCATAAACATTTATATGGTACCTACTGTGTGCTAGGCACTGTATGCTAAGGCTTTACAATTATTATCTCATTTGATTGCACAAAAACCTTGCCGGGGGGGGGCAGCTAGGTGGTGCACACTGGCCCTGGAGTCAGGAGGATCTGAGTTTGAATCTGGCCTCAGACACCTGACACCTACTAGCTGTGTGACCCTGGGCAAGTCACTTAACCCCACTGCCTAGAAAAAAAAAAGGTGATATAAAACCAAAAGCAATCAAAACAAACAAACAAACAAACAAACAGACACAAAAAAGTCCTGCAAGTTAAGAGCTATTATTATCTCCATTTTTTAAAAAGGCAATTGGGGTTAAGTGACTTGCCCAGGGTCACACAGCTAGTAAGTGTCAAGCGTTTGGTCTGAGGCCGGATTTGAACTCAGATCCTCCTGAATTCAGGGTCGGTGCTCTATCCACTGTGCCACCTAGCTGCCCCTATTATCCCCATTTTACAACTGAGGATGCAAAAGTAAACAGAGGTTAAGTGACTTAGCCCATGGTCACCTGGCTAGTAAGTATCTGAGGTCAATTTTGGACTCCAGGCCCAAAGCTCTATCCACTATGTAATGTATAAGAAAGTAGAAGGGTTCTTCAGGGGGGGAAATGGACATTCAATGAAATAGAGGATTTTCAAGCATTCCTAATGAAAAGACCTGAGCTGAACAGAAAATCTGACTTTCAAATACAAGACTTAAGCATAAAAAGTAAACAGGAAAGGGGAGTCTTAAGGGACTACATGGGAAAATGATACTTGTAACTCAAAAGAAGTTTCTCATTATTAGGGCAGTTAGAAGGAGTATATATAGAGGACACAGGTGTGAGTTGAATATGATGGCATAATATCTTAAAATTAAAGGGTGAGAAGAGGAATGCGCTTGGAGAAAAGGAAAGGGAGAGGTAGAATGGGGTAAATTATCTTATATAAAAGAAGCACCAAAGAACATTTAAAGTGGAGGGGAAAATGGGGAGGTGATGGGGAACATTTGAACCTTATTCTCATTGAAATTGGCTCAAAGGAGGAATAAAATACACATCCAATTGGGTATAGAAATCTACCTTCCCTAAGTAGGAAGGGAAGGAGATAAGAAAAGGGGGAGGGTGCTGATAAAAGAGAGAGCAGACTGGGGGAGGTGGTAGTCAGAAGCAAAACACTTTTGAGGAGCGATGGGGTGAAAGGAGAGAGAGAGAGAGAAAATAGAAAAAACGGGAGAAACAGGACTGAGGGAAATAGCAAGTACAACTGAAAAAATTTTTGAAAGAAGTTTCTCTGATAAAGGCCTTATTTCTCAAATATATAGAGAAATGAATCAATTTTGTAAAAATAACAGCAATTCTCCAACTGATAAATGATCAAAAAATATGAATAGTCAGTTTTCAGATGAAGTAATGAAGCTTCTCTCCACTCCCCAACCCATAGCAGTGCTCTTTTCAACCAGTCCTCTAATGTCAGCTAAGGGAGTGAAGAAAGTAAGAGAAAAGTGTAAAGCCCAGGAGAGTGGGAGTGGTAAAAGTAAATAGATCCAACTGCAGTGACCAATATTAAGCCTCCCTGGAACAGTGTCCCAACTGGCCCCCTTTACCCAATTATGCTGAGAGACATAAGAGAGAACGGCAAGAATTAGTGGTGAGAAACAAAACTACTGGGGTCATAGAAAGAAAAAGACTGGTACTAAGAAACACATTTACAACAAAAGACTCACAGACAAATCAGAAATTATTCATAAAGATAGACAAAATATTGATGAGGACGAAGATTCAAAGAAAAGAGCCATTTGAGCGGACAAGAACTTCAAAACAAAGGAAACTAAATCAAAATTCCTTTAGAAACGTGATGCTGTTACAACAAATACTTTAAGGCCCCCTGAAACAGTGATGAAGCAACCACAAAATCTCAAGAACGGCTCAAAAAGGCAATTAAAGAATTAAGTGGAAAAAAAGAAAAAAAATAAAATGAACATGTCAAAGAAATAAGCATAAAAATCAGAGCACTTAAGAAAGAAATCAATTAACCAATCTATCAGCAAGCATTTAATAAACATTTAATCAATAAGGTTAAGAAGAGACTAGAGACTTGGGGGGCAGGGAGTGAGAGGTGAGGGAGTGGAGAAGACATTATCCATAACAGTAGATTCTCTGAACTAAAGAAAGAACCAGAACACAAAAATAACAGAAAGAAAATTAAAAAACAAATAAGATTAAAAGAATGTTGTTCCTTGAGAAAGCACACTGTTTCCCCCTTTCTTTATATCCCTAGTGATACTATCACTTGATACATGCTTGTTGACTGCCTGAGAACATATGAAAGCTCTATAAAATAACACTGAACTTGAAAATAAGATGTGAAGAGATAGCTTAAGAATTATATTTCTTTTCCAAAACATAATTAAAATGAAAATCTTAATAAAATGATTCAAATAATCATGCAGAAAAACTGCAAACAGTAAAGAGCAAATTAAACAAAACCACAAAACATTAACAGAAAGATACTTCCAATCAATTTACCAAGAAACATCACAGTCAAATTTGAGAACTAAAACATCAAAGACTTTTTGTAGGCAGCAAGGAAAATTTTTTTCTTTACATTCCAAGGAGAATCAATCAGAAAAGAATAGGATTACTCTTACGGTCAACATGAAATCAAAGGAAAAAAACTGATATATTCTGAAAAGCAAAAATGATTGCTTTGTTAAAATTAATTTTGAAAAACTGAACCTGAGGATCATGATAAGGACACAAATGAACATCTGGCAAAATGAATCATTGTGACAAAAGAATACATAAGTATAAATGTTATTCAAAATGCAAATTGACTATATAACAAAAAGTTAAATACAAAAATTTCAGAAAGCTGTGAAAACCTAAGAAATGAAATGTTTATTTTCATGTGATTAAGGCTAGACAAAGCCATGAATGTGGGATGGGTGAGTGTATGCTGCTGGATTTTATTTTTGTTTCAGAGAGTACAAGTCTGAAAGGTAACAAGAAGGCAAAATGAGCTAAATATCAAACAAGTATTTAAACACTTCCTAAGTGCTCAGGACTGTGTTAAACACTATGGATACAAAGAAAAAGCAAACACTGGCACTGTCCTTTAAAGAAGCTTTCATTTTGAGTCTTTGTGTATAGTAAAAAGTATATGCTAAATACATACAGAAAAGTCAATTCAGAACTTAGAGATTCCAATGTCTAGCAGCCTGGTGGAAACTTCCCAATAAAACTTCTAAGAGGGAATCATGAGGAGAAATGTGAAGATCATGTTGGTTTTTCCTTCCCCTTCCCTTTGACCACAGGAGGACCGATTCAGAGAATCGAAGGATTTTTGGACTTCCCATTGGGTTCCTAGTCTTATCGGTGTCCCTATAGTGGCAGATATAGTGTCTACATCATAAGTGGAGAACAGATTTGACTTATTGAGGCAAGGTGGCTTCAGGACTCTACTGGAAGCCCCAAAGAGAAGGTACACCATGCCTGGTGAATTTCATGGATACTCCATAAAGGGTAGAAGACTTTCAGCAACCAGGAGCTACCAGATATTTCAATCTTTGGGCTCTGAACTGGCCTACTATTATAGATGACCCATGGGGTGTGAACAAGTTTGTTTAGTCAATATACTTTTTATGTAACTAATAAACAACAAGAGCTAGTTTACTGAAAAGACCGATGAAATCATTAAAATAAGATCCAACCTGATGAAAGAAAAAGTTATGAAAACTTAAAATAAAAAGTGAATTCACTATAGGAAATAAAAAGAAGTATCAGCAATTGTTATACAATTTAAACATTATCAACCAGTCATTTACTAAGCAACTAGTGCCAGTTACAAGGGACACAAGTATAAAAAACAAAAAAAATCTCTACTCTCAAATTTACATTATACTGAAAATATAAATCTGAGAATTCAAAGGAAATGAATAAATATCTACAGAAATACAGACTATTCAAACTAAACAAGAAATTAAAGTAGCCA